CAGGTCACCAGTCTATCACAGGGCTACACTTAGAGACAGACAACCAAGCACACTCACATTCACACCTACGGACAATTTAGAATCACCAATTAACTTCAACATGTTTTTGGACTGTGTGGGAGGAAGCCGGAGAACCCGGAGAGAACCCACACTGCACGGGGAGAACATGCAAACTCCACGTAGACCGATCGCATGTGTCCTCACCGGGATGCGAACCAGCGATCTTCTAGCTCCGAGGCAACGATGCTAACCACTGATACACCTTTCAATCATTCAAAATTATTCAACAAAAAATATTTAAACTTCTCAAACCTGAAAACAGAAGAAGCTTTGCTCAATTTTCAAATTTGCAATTCTGAGAAACAAGTAGATTTTACTTTAAAGGGAAACGCCTTGTGTTAAAATGTTTAGGACTTCCTGAACTAAATTTTGGTCCTGAAATGTGGAAAAAGCCTCCAAACCGCTTAACGCAGCTCTCAAGTACGTTGCTTGCACATGCCAACCTGTTAATGTGACAACATGCAGTTTAGACTTGGGTTGAAAGTTGTATATAAATGTTACAAAGTCCGACCTATTAGGATTGCTGTCACCACGGAGGTGCCTATTTAGACATGATGCCAACACTTTCAGAGATCAACAGAAAGGTGTGCATGTCTGAAAGGGGCTTTATAGTTTCCACAGGTATAGTTGTACGGTTGTCTGTGAAGTGACTCACTCTTGTGGAGTACAGTCCAGGTCCCCCTGGATCCTCACTCCGCTCACTTCTCTGAGGTTTCGACCTGACAACGTTGCATGGTTTCTGCCGTGGAACGACACGACACTGGGTGTGATGGAGGAGATCTCTGGCCTCTGACAGCAAAACACACACAAAAAACCAGCTTTAATACAATAATACTGATGTTATAAACTCTACTGAATGTGAATGAGGCGGGTTGAGACTCACAGAAAAGTTTTTCCCAAAATCCATCTTTTGGCAAACGCTGTCCTGCATCAGGAAATAGGAATAAATTCAGCAGATGCTCATGATAGTCACTGTACAGGTACTATTACAGTTGATCCAGGAGTTAACGACAAGTGGGCATAAGAATTTACTCAGCATGTAAAGTCAGGATGGTCTCGGTGTTGCTGGAAGTTGTTTTCCCTCTGTTCTAAACAAAGTTAAACCCAGTCTTTAATCCCCGAGGCAAGGCTGAGTAAAAAGGTCACTCCAAGCATAAGAATAAAAAATATTAATTTTATAATAAATCTAAACGAACAAAGTCAGTCTTGCTCCAAGCAATACATGTTTGGTACTGCTGAGAAAGAAATAACTTAGTCTGAGCTTGTGAGGAAAATTACAAACAAATCCTCTAATTCTCATTAACTCTCATCTTTCTAGCAAACTGCTTGATATCTTATAACTGTTTGTGCTGACACATGTACTGTTTGTATTCTGTGGTACACAGAACAGCAATTTTTAGCAGATAATAAATATCTGAAGTTCAGAATATCTTTAACAATCTTCAAATGTCTCAGAATTTGACAAAGTTAGATTGATGCTGCACATGTACAACATGTAAGAAGTGTAGAAAAGTCTGCATTTGATAGACATAGAAAACATGCAGCATTACATTCCCCTCTCCTTCGTTAGCCCAGGAACAGCCGCTTTTGCTCCATCCACATCCAGCCTTGATACACTGCTGGCACCTGAGGAGACAACAAGCACATGCTGGTGCTGATCAGAACCACAATAAAACCACGACTATGGATCACAGTGGCCTCAAACACAACAAACAAAGAAACCACTAAACAGTACACATCCTGTCAGGTGATGAAAGAGTCTCAGCAATAAGGATTTATGAACTTGTGTCAATCATGATCATTTGTACACTGATCCACCTGACTGAATGTGCACTTCAGCTTCAACCTCTGCTCTTATAGAAGATGTAATTCCTCCACAGCAAACGTCTTTGATTTCTTGAAAATAGTAATGGACTTACAAAACAGAACTTGGTGGTCCACTGATGCCAGAGCAGTTGGTGACTTCCAGTTGTTCCGACAGATGCGTTTCCCCAAGTCTCATCTTTACTATGACAAGAAGGCCTGTAAAGCAAAATCAATGAGATGAATGTCAAAGTTCTTTCATTGTTTTGGCAATACATGCGTTGTAAGAACATATAATGGCATGGACTTGTAAAGTGTTCCTACTGAAGGAACTATATGGAATCACATGTGTGTCAATGGAAAGTAAAAAACTGCATCTTGCAATCAAATTATTTGTGTAATCATGTAAACCGTTCTTCTACTTTTTTCATCATATGATACATTAGGAATACAGTTTCCTCTGCTGCTTTCTCACTAATCAGACTTTCGTTTGCACTTCTGATACAACCCTCTCACATGGGCAGGTTTCTTCAGGGGTTTGTTTCTATTGGAATATATGTTTTCAAGTAACAGCTCATTGTCATTTTGTCAGCCTTTTACATCTGTTTGCCTCTTTCCTGCTCTCTCTGCTCACATATATTGCATTTTAATACAGGGGAATGAATCTGTTACATATTTGTCTGTTTCTCTTATCGGACAACTGAGCGAGTGTGAAATAGCGAGTGAAATGCGGTCTACGTCTACATGTTAACCAGCAGTCACTTCCAAGCTGCTGCTCTGCACTGCTAAGATCCAGATTTTATAACATTATTTGACGAAATCACCACACACTTAAGTTAAAGACAGCAGCTGTGCTGTGATTGTAGTTATATTACATTTAAAATTCTTACCAAAACAAAGTTAGAAATGACAGAATGCCTGTTTTTTTCTTTCACAGACACTCACTCCAGTCTGTGTCAGCTGCTGCACATCACTTGAATGTGCTGCTCCTCTCTGAGCAGAACAGAAACAAAGAGCGGGTTGCTTGTGGCAGGAAAGCAAAACCTCGAGCTTGCGGGACTGGTATCCAACTGTATGGAAAGCAGCTCAGGCTTGTCCAGTACGTTGCTCTATTTGTTGCTGGGTGCCGTTTTAAAAAACAAGTCGCTAAAGGGGTGTGAAAAGTTGCTACATCAAGCAACGAAATGGCTAAGTTGGCAACAATAGCTGCAATGACGCATTGAGGTGTCACTCAAAAACTCAATAGCCAATGGGGACGTGTGCCTATCAAGCCCGCCTACCTGTGTTGGTGTCATAAGCGCAAACAAAAAGTCAGACACCACAAATGAAAGAGCGACAGATGAATGACAGGTGCTCACCTACAGAAAACCAATACAGGATCCGCCCTCTCATAGCCATACAAACGCTGCTGCATCTGATTGGAAGAAGGTCTTTCTGATGGTTATCTTTTATCAAGGCTCCAGACTAACTTTTCAGTAGAAGCACGGGGCAGTTGGTCGCACCAGCACATGATTTAGCTGCCCCCATCCACCATATCCATCCATCCATTTTCTTCCGCTCATACGGGGTCGGGTCGTGGGGGCAGTAAGCGAAGCAGGTCATCCCAGACTTCCCTCCCCCAGGCGATGCTTTCCCGCTCTTCCTGGAGGATCCCAAGGCATTCCCAGGCCAGCCGAGAGATCTCTCCAGCAGGTTCTGGGTCTGCCTCGGGGTCTCCTCCCAGGTGGACGTGTTCGGAACAACTCCAGAGGAAGCCTCTCTGGAGGCATCTAAATCAGATGTCCATACCCCCCCCAACTGGCTCCTTTCGATGTGCAGGAGCAGCGGCTGTACTCCGAGCTCCCGCCGAATGTCCGAGCTCCTTACCCTATCTCTAAGGCTGAGCCCAGTCACCCTGGGGAGGACGCTCATTTGGGCCGCTTTTATCCGCGATCTCGTTCTTTCAGTCACTACCCAATGCTCGTGACCAAAGGTGAGGGTTGGGATGTAGATGGACTGGTAAATCAAGAACTTCACCTTGAAATGGAATTGGAATGCACTCTCCGGTCCCCCGTTTTGAAAATGGGAACCATCACCCCAGTCTGCCACTCCACAGGCACTGTACCCACTGTACTGATGCCCACGTAACACTGAAGATACGTGACAGCCATGACAGTCCGACAGTGTCCAGAGCCTTCAGCATCTCAGGGCAAATCTTGTCCACACCTGGCACTTTGCCACCATGGAGCTTCTTAACTACCTCGGCGAACTCTACCATGGATATGGACGCAGAAGCCCCCGAGTCTTCAGGCTCTGTCCCCTCAGCAGAGGACGTGTTTACCAGGTTCAGGAGTTCCTCGAAGTGCTCCTTCCACAGCTTGACAAGATCCCCAGTCTGGGTCAGCAGTTCTCCTCCCTGGCTGTACACAGCGTGGGCAAATCCCTGCCCCCCCTTTCTGAGGCGTCAGACGGTTTGCCAGAACTTCTTCAAGGCTGACCGAAAGTCCTTCTCCATAGCCTCCCCGAACTCCTCCCACACCCAAGTTTTAGCTTCCACGACCGCCGCAGCTGCAGCCCTTTTGCCAGCCGGTACCTCCCTGCTGCTTCAGGAGACCCCCGAGCCAGCCAGGCCCGAAAGATGTCCTTCCCTCACCGCCGGTGTCCACCAGCGGGTTTTGGGGTTGCCGCTATGACAGGCACCAGTGACCTTCTGGCCACAGCTCCTAATGGCCGCTTCCGCAATGGAGGCTTTGAACATGGCCCACTCTGACTCCACGTCCCCAACCTCGCCCGGAACTCTTCAGGAGGTAGAATTGACAACCCCACGGACAGGGGCCTCCACCAGACATTCCCAGTTCACCCTCACTACACGTTTGGGTTTACTAGGTCTGTCCGGCAGCCTTCCCCGCCATCAGATCCAACTCACCACCAGGTGGTATTCAGCTGACAGCTCTGCTCCTCTTTTCACCTGAGTGTCCAAAACGTATGGCCACAGATCAGATGATATGACTACGAAGTTGATCATCGACCTTTGGCCTAAGGTACTCTGGTACCAGGTACACTTACAAACAACCTTATATTTGAACATGGTGTTTGTTATGGCCAATCCGTGGCTATCACAGAAGTCCAAAAACAAAACACTGCTCAGGTTCAGATCGGGCAGGCCGTTCCTCCCAATCAAGCCCCTTCAGGTTTCACTGTCATTGCCCACGTGAGCATTGAAGTCCTCCAGGACAACTATGGAGTTCCCAGGCGGCACCCCTTCCAGGACACCACCCAGTGACTCCAAGAAGGCCGGATACACTGAACTGCCGTTTGGTGCTTAAGCACAAACAACAGAGTTTTCCCCACTGCAACACACAGTCGCAGAGAGGCGACCCTCTCGCTCTCCGGGGAGAACTCCAACATGGTGGCATTCAGCCAAGGGCTTGTGAGTATCCCCACACCCGCCCAGCGCCTCTCACCGTGGGCAACTCCGGAAAAGGAGAGAGTCCAACCCCACTCCAGGAGTTTGGCCCTTGCTGTGTGTGGAGGGGAGCCTGACTATATCTAGCCAGTAATGCTCCACCCCCATGGGGCCCCAAGGCTCGACCACCAGGCGCTCCCCAGTGAGCTCCCCACCAGGCCCGGCTCCAGGAGGGTGGCCCGGTCTCCCTATTCTGGTCGAGGTGGCAGCTGTCTTTGTTTTGTTCTTCATCAGGGTCTCTGAATCGTTCTTTGTCTGGTCCCTCCCCCAGAAGCAATTTGCCTTGAGAAACCCTACAAGGGGCTAATGCCCCAGAAAACAAAGCTCCCAGGATCACAGGGACACTCAAACCCCTCCACCGCGATAAGGTGGCGATTCATCGCCCTTCCACCCCTCACACCCATACAGCATGGCCACAACTGTTAATCAGATCCTATGGACACTATAACCACAAAGCCAACACTGAAGGCAAACGTCTGTTCAGTGAGAACGCAGCAGGGAGAACTGTAAACAATATAAGACATACAGTTTAAACAATGACACAAATACTTTGCTTAATTCGGTCTCAAATATTTTTGTTTTATAAGACTGACACAAACCTGACTCCACAGCTTATACCAATATCGTGTTTAATAGATTGTTGTGATGGTTTAAGGTCCTTGACTGAGAAATATTTCAATGTATGGATTATTTATCAAGTCACTGACCGTCAGCAGGAAGCACACCACTAGACAGGATGCAGGTGCATTGTGGGAACTGTGGAGGAGGGCTATTCCGGCTACAAAGCTCAATGGAAGTTGCAGAGAAATAACAGGCGAAGTTGGACGGGTTCTGACCCACAATCACGTGTGTCTGGATGCTTAGTGTGATCTGAGAGAGAAAGCAATACGAGTGATAAAGACCTGCTAGTTAGATCTGATTCAGAAGTGTCAGAAGTGTGTGTGTGAGCTGCACCTGTCCACTGGAGTCCTTCTCAACTCTGTGGGAAACCATTTGCTGCTGCCATTCATCAGGAATGGACAACCAGTCGGAATCTTTGCAGTCATCTGCAAAGGTGCAACTGGGAAAAGGAAACCATGTTAACATCAAGTTTATAGTTCTCTGATGATGCAGATGTTGTTTCACTGACCTTTTTTGAGGGACACACCAGACACAGTGTGGATCCTGAGCAGACCAACACTCCTGAACGTCCTTGTATGTGCTGCACTTTGCCACAGCGACACGCTCCACCTGGAACCAGACATTCAGAAACACTTTCAGATACAGCAGAGCTACAAGTGACGCTGACATAATGAGAAGTGGATCATATGAGCATCAATACCTGGTTTCTAAATGGCACATACACATGTTTCTGATCCACTTGATCCAAATGAATTCTGGGAAACACTTTGCGGTCGTCATCCACTCTGTAGAGCACCGTGGGACAGGCGGTGCGATAGTTCCTGTCCACAGCCAGCTGACAACAACAACAACAACAACAACAACAACAACAACGGAGCTTTGTTAAGTTCCTGAGAGACTGTGCTGCTGTGCTGTTAAATATTAAAGTTTGAACTGAAAAATGTGAATTTTGTCCAATTAGAAGCAAAAGGATTTGACATTTGTTAAAAGAGATAAATGTCAAAATAAGAAAGTGATAAAAATGCAAATGTCAAAATGTATTTCATCCATTTGTTCCTCTGTTTATGACCAAGTGTTGATGTTGGACAGTCAGCAGACTGTAGTACCACCTGTGAGCTCATAAGGTTAGTTTGACCTGGTAGATAACCTGCATTATCTATGACTCCATGTTAAGCTTCACTGTTGCCTCACAACAAGAAGGTCAC